GTCCAGTTGATTCCTTTGACTCATGTACCCATTTCTCTGGGGGGAAGGAAGAGGGAAGCCTTGTGACCAAGAGTTACTCCAGGATCACATGAAGAATGAGAGAGTGTGGTCCCCAAAGGGAAAAGGGGTGTGTGGGAAGCATATGATCATCACACTAATGATGGCTAGACCATCATTAAAGGCAGGGTTAGGATAGAAACTAGAGCTTCAGTCCTAGGGCAGTTCTAGAAGTTATGGTGGGGAAGAAAAATAGGTGAGTTTAGAAAAAAAACTAGTTTGAGTCTCTTAAGGAATATAAATTAGAAATGAAGATATAGCTCTGAAATGATGTTAAGTCAACTATTTCTTTTTACTTTCAGAAATATATATGAGTATTGTAAAATGAACCCCCTGCTATTGCTAATAAATGCTCCTACATATATTCTATCATTTAGTGAGGAAGTGGATCGAAAGGCATGTCTCTGGTTTCCTGGCTCCTTATTTTCTTCATGCTATGGAGATATGCCAGAATAAAATTTTGAGGGGAGGGGGAAGAAAGCTTAAGGAAAAATTTCAAGATGGATAAAGAGTATTAAAAATAAGCAAATGGATGATTGTGGCAACAACTAACTATTGAGCAGTTGACATATACTAGGCATTGAAGTAAATGTATAACATTATTTAAATCTGATAACCATCCTATCAGTTAGGAACTGTTAATTTGCTTATTTTTTAAAATATTTTTTTAATTGTAGATGGACACAATACCTTTATTTTATTTTTATGTGGTGCTGAGGATTGAACCCAGTGCCCTCCACATAAGAGGTGAGCACTCTACCACTGAGCTACAACCCCAGTCCTAATTTACTTATTTACAGGTGAGGAAACCAAGTTTGGGAGGAGTGAATAATTTGCTCTAGCTCCTGTCAGAGCTGGATAACCTCTGATCTGAGAGTCTGTGTTCTTCTCATAATGCTTATAATTAGGCCATTTAATTGTGTAAGTTGACTATTTTACAAGCAAAAGTATTGTTTCTGGCACATCATTTTATCCTGCATGAAATAAAGTACTGTTGAAGTTGTTTTTCTCTTCTTGTTCCCATTCCCCCAACTTTCCTTCACTTTTAGTGATAGAAGACTGCTCTCCCTGCCTTGACCCTAGTGGGTGACATGGGTCCTCTCCTGAAAACAATTCAAAGGTCCTCTGATAGTCATTTCTGAATTGCAGCTCAAATTGCTAAGTAGAGAACTGGAGTACCTAAACATTTTAAATCTCAAGCAATAATTATGAACATTAATCATAGAAAGCCACGAAAAAGCTACAACCTTGAAGTACATCCAAAAATGTAGCTGTAATATTTAAATTGTGACCCAAGAAATTCGCTGCTGAAGGTATTTCCTAGTGGGTAGATGTGGCTCAAAGAAACAAGATACCAATATTCCTTTTTTACACTAGTTGTGTATATATTTCTTCTTCTTTTTTTCCCTCCCAAAGAAAGCAGCTATTGTCTCAGCTTTTTCACTATTTTTACAACAACCAGCCTCATGTACTCCTGCCTTCCACACAGCCAATTTGGGCTTCTCTAACTCTGAAGATCATATCTCATTGATAATTGGTTTGATGCTACTTCTGTTTATTACCTTAGCCCTTCCTTAGTTCACCAGTCAGCCACCGTTTGATTGTCTATGTCTTCTAATCACATGGCCAGCTGGCCAGTAGATTAATAAGCTCAGCTTTCATATCTGGGAAGTGAATATTTTCATTTTATAACAACAAACTGTGTTTTGTCAATAATGTTCTCCCAAATGGTTATAAAATATTTCTTTTCATATAATCTAGAATACAGGGGCTGGGGATGTGGCTCAAGCGGTAGCGCGCTCGCCTGGCATGCGTGCGGCCCGGGTTCGATCCTCAGCACCACATACCAACAAAGATGTTGTGTCTGCCGAGAACTAAAAAATAAAATTAAAAAAAATAATAATCTAGAATACAGGTCACCAAACTTTTTTTTTTCAAAACTTTTTAATCATGCATTCCTGTCAGTATTTTTTTTGTGGGTATATTCTTCTAAGTATATGTATATTTGGTCATAAAATACACATATGGTACCATCATATAGCTTATAATAGTCAGTTACATTTAGGATGCCGTTGTTAATGATAGTAGATGTAAATTCACATTTCAAATAGTCTTTTTGATGATTTTGTTATTGTTTAGCCAAAATTTGGTTGGATTTATTAGATTGTCATTTTAACTTTGAAATGTGGCTGTCAAAAATTTGATGCTAAGCCAGGGTGATGGTGCACGCTTGAAATCTCAGCAGCCTTGGAAGCTGAGTCAGGAGGACTCAGCGAGTGATAAGCAACTCAGTGAGTGATAAGCAACTCAGTGAAACCCTGTCTCTAAATAAAAATACAAAATAGTGCTGGGATGTAGCTCAGTGGTTGAGTACCCGAGTTGAATTCCTGGTACCGAGCAGCCTGCCAAATGATACTAAAAGCCTCAGTTTTCTATCATTTACTTGTTATACATTGTGGTTTCCTTGCAGAAGACACTTGTAATGTCATTTGTCTGTTTTGAGGGTTTAATTAGATTAAACCTAGATAATCTAATCAGTAAATACACTTAATTTAACCCAGAAAACTGCAGTAAGTCACAACAGGTTGATGGGGGTTGACTAGATTGGATCACCACTGTCAGCCTCTGGGAATGAGTACCTCTCTCTTTTTCCTAAGGACATCTCTTATGCTGCTCTTGCCAAGGGACCATTTCATGGACCAAGAAAAGAGCTGTTTGTTCTGTATATATTAGGTGAGCTTAATGCTATTTTTTTTAAAGAGCAAAATTAAGCATAAGTAGATTCCCTCTTTTTTTTTTTTTTTTTTTTTGTTCTCCTGTCCCAAATGGATTGCTTGGCACTATCCTTGGAGTATACACATCCCTAGGATGCATGGACTGCCTTAAGAAATTATTGGTTCAGAAAACAAATTATCACATAGGCAAGGATGTTTCTATTAAAAAAAAAAAACCCAAACCCCAAAACCCTGCTCATTTCAGTTGCTCAGCCATTTTATAGAAATGAAATGACTTTGAAATGAATTGTCTTTATAGAGATCCATAATTTGCAAGCAAAACCCTCACTCTACAAAATGTGAAATGTTCTAAGCAACAGCTGTGAGCATTTCAAACATGCACTACTTTTTAACGGTTCAACTGTTGCCAAGGGAAATTGAGTTGGCTTCAAAATCTTTCTTGGTTTTAATTCTACACTTACCCTCAATCAGAGATTGAGGAAATAGGTTCTGCTTGGCTGAGTTACCGAACTTTCATGAAGACTGAGGTATGGAAATATAAGTTTCTTGAAGGTAGCAAACAGGCTGGTGGTATTCTATACTTCATCTGGCCTACTGGTAACCATAACTATCGGAGCAAAAATGGGCCTAAGTTTATACAGTGGCCAATCATCTGGAGACAGTAGGGGGAGCCGGTTTCCATCTAAGACTCACCTTTTGGCATTTCCCATTTCAGTTTAAAGCAGGAATATATTTATCTTTCATGACACAAAAATTATTTTTTCACCCGAGTCATTTTTTGGAGCAGGCACATAAATTAGATCGACAAGAGAAACACAAATGTGTTTTTTTTTTTTTTTTTTGGAGGGGAGGCTGTCATTTGTATATATGGTACAAAGAACTTTATAATTCCATTCCCTAAGTGTATAGAAAACATGATATAATACTGAAGGGGAAAATTATGCTACAGAACAACACGGTAACATAAAAGGAAGAAAATTCCAGAAGGGAGTACACCAAAATGCTTACAGTGGTTATCTTTGAGTTGAGGAATTGTGAATGTTTATTTTTTTATCTGCCCTTCCCCCACTGTCCGAGTTTCAAACAATTGGCGGCTTCCGCAYTTAGGATTTCTTTCTTTTTTTGCCTCAAAAAAATGTATGTAGCATGCCTTCAAACAGATGGACAATCCCAGAATATTGTCTGGAAATGCACCATTTTGGCCTAGGGTTCACCAGAGATGCAAGCACATTTGTAAATATTTTATCACGTGTTCTGGATAGAGGTGAAGTCTTTTTGGTTAAACTGTTAGGAACTCCACTTGCCAATTAAAAGCTCCTACAGTTTGCAGTTGGGTCTTCCCGACGCTGAAGCAGCCAGCTGGCCAATGAGGTGAGCCTGGTGACCGTGTTCCCTTCTGCCTTAACTGAACCCTGGCCATCACGGAGACTTGCAAGGAGCTTAGGGAGCCCATATTCAAAACAGACATTTAGGGAAAGATGAGGTGAGAGAGAAATTAAAGCGTTACCCAACCCTGGGTCGGGCCCTGGGGGTTTAAATTCCCGTGTCAGGCTCAGGCCTCTTTCTACTAGGTTCTGTGGAGAGAGGCGGCTGGGGTTTTTCCCAGCGGGCTTCAAGGGACCCATTTATACTAGCAGTGGCACGCTAGTGCGGGCGGCGCACGTCACTGCTTTCCACGCGGCTTGTGGTTGAGTCTTGAATGGGACTAGTCGAGCCCCGAGGGGACACGCTAGCCACTGAACAGGGCGGACTCAGGGCCCAGGGTCTCGCCCACCCCGGCCCTCGGAATCCTCCGGTTGAAGAGGAGAGCAGTCCAAAGGCTCCCATTGCACGGAGCCTCTCTGCTGAGGTCGCACATCTCCCGGAATTACGGAGCTTCTCCCAGCCAAAGTGACAGCCCCCTACTTTCTTCCCTTCAGCCCACCCAGCCGCTTAGCGGAAGCTGCGGCCGCGCGGCCAGAGCTCGCGGCTGCATCCGGGTCCCTCACGCCTCGGCCCAATCCCCGGCCTCTTCTCTTTCCACCCTCCTGTTTCTCCGCCTCCCCCCGCCGCCAGTCCCTGATCAGCTCTCAGCCGAACATGCTGGCTGGGGAGTGAAGGCAGACGACGGCCAATGAGGTCTCGCTTCCCGTTTGAAGTCTCCAGTGGGCGGGCGTCAGAGGCGGGTGCTGCTGGCTAGGAGGTTCGGTTGAGCGTGTGCCATGGACCCAGCCGCCCGGTGATATTGACAATAGGAGAGAGAGAAAGGGGCATTGACTGGGACCCACCGCGGGTAGCGAACGGCGGCTCTGGCAGCGGCGGCTCCTGCTTCAGCGGCTCCTCCTCCTCCCGACTCCTCTGCCTGCTGCCGCTGCAGATCCAGTCTTCGTCCCTCCCTTCCCCCCCTCCCCACGTCGCCGCCGCCGCCGCCGCTGGGTCCGGGGCTACGAGCTGAGGCGCCGCCCGCCGGGAATGTGAGCGAGGAGCCACCGGCGGAGCCTCAACGGGGTCGGTGCCGATTTGATGGGACGGGCCCGCGGGGGAGGATCGTGAGGCCGCCGCCGCCGCCGCTGCCGCCGGAGCGCTGAGGTTCGGTCCGGCCCTGAGGCCTAGAAGCGCCGCCACCGCGGAACCGGAGGGACGCCGCACCGGACAGCCGTCGCCCCGGGCTCCCCGCAGCTGCCCGGACCTCCCTCCCCCCTGCACCTCCCGGTTCCACCGCTCGCCCCCTCCGTGGCCCCTTCGCCCTTCTCCCGCCCCTCGAAACCACAGATCATCTTTGGATTCTTCCCCAGAAGCTTCAAGGTAACTTCGTCCCTCCAACACCGCGGCTTGCCCGCTTCCGTTCCTCCTCTCGGTTTTCTTGGGGAACCTGCAGGGCACCGGACTTGAGAAGGCCTGGCCCAGGCAGGCGAGGGGTGYGGTGGGGTGGGGTGCGGGAGAGGGAGCGCCGGTCCCACTTGTCTGATTTACCTGTAGATGTTTCTGAGGCTACCTCTTTCACTCTTCCTCCCTCACCCCTTTTTCTCCATCTTTTGAGATTGGAGGCATTTTCTTGTTCCCCTTTATCCACTGGCGGGGTTGGTGAAAAAGGGGGGTTTGGTGTAGTGAGGAGGATTCTGTAGCAGCGTGTCTTTTCCAGGGCTTGGGGTGTAAGTGAGCATCCCTACGGCTAACCCCCGCACCCCCTCGCGGGATTATCCTGAGCCTTGGAACTGCCCCGCGCCCGCTGCTGAGAGGATGATAAAGCTTCAGGCGCCCTGGCTTAGGTGAAACCTGTTTCCCTGGGCTTTGCACGGACCCGCTGTTCCCTTACATTCAATTCTGTTTGGCTTTTTAGGGTTGATATCCTGACGTTTGTACTGGGTTGCAGGCCTAACTGGCAAATGATTAAAAAAAAATAATAATAAAGCTACCTTTAGATCGTCCTTAGAGATGGGAGAAGACTAAAAAAGAGAGAGTGATGGAGGAACAGGATTTAACAGAAGTCTTGTGTTAGGGTTAGAATGAAATCTAAATAATTCACTTGCGAAATTGGAAAATCCGCCCTTAAATTTACAACATACAAATGTGATGTGTCGCTTTTTGCTGATGCAGTCATTTTATTTTAAAGTGAGCATACATTTTCTATACTATTCATAGTTTGCAGTTCCATTTTGAATGTCACATTATGTTTAAGGATAAGTTAGGTACATTTAAAAACATTTCTGAACTAAAGACTATCAAGGAAGTTTTCAAATTTCAATACCTTGACCTCATAGGTGTCCCCCCCCCCCATGCTTTTATTTTTACTTTGCCAGAATGCAGGTAATCCAGGTAACTTTTTAGTCTTGCACATTCAGGAAGAAACTCCCATACTCATATGTAGAAGTTAAAAAAAAGTCTTATGCATTGGAATGACAGATGAGTAATTACATTTCAGTATTTCCCCTGTATGCTTTATTTCTATCCAAGTCTGCCATTAATCTTGCATGGAGCCTCAGTGCCATGGAGATGATGGCATCTGTTTAACTTGGTGAATGAAATTGAGTGTAATGCTTGTTACTTTTAGGAAATAGCCTTCAATAGCCTTTATTTTAATTATTTGAGAGGGTTAAAAAAGTAAAAGAACTACTCAGTTCCATCAGTTTGATGGAATGAAATTGATATTTGAACTTCAAAGTCTAAACCTCAAGAGAATTCAACTTGGTTTTCTAAGAAGATTGTGAAGTTATGTTTTCAGTTCACCTTGGTGTGTGGTTTCTAGTGGTTTTGATCATTATGCTTTAATAACTTAAGATGGATTCATTCAAAAAGAAGACTTCTTTAAAATTATTTTAATTATGCCTTTTGTGTGTTTAAAGAAATATAGTCTGTCCTCATTTGCAGTGTAGTGGTTTATCATAGCAAACACTGCACATTGTATTAAAAGTCATGCTTAGTTTCAGTAATTGTAAATGCACGTTGCTGTGATACATTGGTGTAAATTCTTGAAGTACAGTAAGGGTTTCAGCCCCAGAGTCTATTCATAATATTAAAAATGTTAGGAAAATATATCTGTGGGGATTTTTCAGCTGCAGAATAACTCCAAAATTACTTCAAGAATCAGATGAAGAGCTTTCTTTGAGTGAAGTAGTAAAAGCATTTGGGTTATGATGTTGTTTACATGATAGTAATCTTTTTTCATCAAATTCTTATGTTTTCTCATCTTCCTAAGACTTTCTTTAATTAATTAATTTACTTTTTTTTTTTTTTTAAATGGTACTAGGGTTTAAACCCAGAGATACTTTACCACTGAGCTATACCAACCCTTTTTATTTTTTATTTTGAGACAGGATTTTGCTAAGTTGCTTAGGGCCCTGCTGAGTTGCTGAGGCTTACCTTGAACTTGTGATCCTCCTGCCTCAGTTTTACCAGTTGCTGGGATTATAGGCTTGCCTCACCATGTCTGGCTTATTTACTTACTTTAGCACACATTTTTATTTTCATGATTATTATATGTGAGAATTTTAGAATTTGTATAACTCACATGTATGCTTCCACCTTGGGAATATGTTTATGATACCTCTTTCTCTTCAGTAGGGATATGTCCTCAGCACCAACTACTCCTCCATCAGTGGATAAAGTAGACGGATTTTCTCGGAAGTCCGTCAGAAAAGCCAGACAGAAGAGGTCACAAAGTTCCTCACAGTTTAGGTCTCAAGGCAAGCCTATTGAATTAACACCTCTGCCGCTGCTAAAAGGTAAGGCTTATGACCAGGTGATTCTTTTTCAGTGAATCTTTTGTATCTATATAATTTCCTTTTTTTGTACAGTTTCATATCTGTTAAAATTCTGTGTTGCAAGTTGAAAGGATAGGTGGCTTCAGATATATCAAAGTTACCTGTGGTTTAAGTATAAAATAGGTATAAAGTATACCTATTTTCCTTTTTAAAGAGCTCAATTCAATCTAAATAGCTGTGGACAAATGAAAAGAAACTTATGCGGAGACTCTCACACTAAGTTAAAAAACTAAATGGCAGAGTCTGGGTCTGTGGTTTTTTTTTTCTTTTGCTAACATGTAGGTGGATATGCTATATACAATGACAACTACAAACTGTTCTGTCTTAGGAAGTAAAGGAGATGATAATTTATATGAAATGGTTTTGAAAAAAATCTATTTTTAAAAGCCAAATTTACAATTGAGTAATACATTCTTGTTTTCCGAGAGTAAAAATAGACAAAGTATATGATGATCATACTTGCCTAATAGTTTTTTTTGGAGTCCATTAAGAACTGTTATTTTTCTAAATTAGACCTTTGAACTTTTGTTTTAGTATATGGATACTGTTTGTCCCTTTAAATTTTCATCTATTTGCTTCATGTTTATGAATAGACATTACTTGAAATGATTAGAACAATGGCTGTTATAATGTGGAAACTCTTAGAATCTACCTTTGAAGATGGAATTTTGTCTGCTGAATACTTGAGTAGGGAGGAAGGGAACATGAAAAACACAATGGACTTGGTAGTTCAGAGGAAATCAGACAATTACTAGTTAATTAATGCACATTTGTTTTCAGATGGTATTATAAGAAAAACTGGAATGTGACTGGAAAGAATCCTTATAGTTTAGAATATTTCAAACTTCTGTTTTTATATTTGTAGTCAGTGGAAACTAAATAAATACTAATATTGTAAAGACTATCTATCATTTAGAAGGCTTTTGCCTATAAAGATTTTGGTGACCAGAATGACAATAGTTTGTATGAGGTTTCAGAAGGAAAATTATGGAAAAATTCTGGGATAAAACCACCATGTTTGGGGCTGGGGTTGTGACTCAGTGGCAGAGCACTCACCTAGCATGTGTAAGCCCTGGGTTCAATCCTTAGCACCACATAAAAATAAATAAAATAAAGATATTGTGTCCAACTACAACTAAAAAATAAATATTAAAAAAACCACCCATGTTTGAAATTCACAGTTGAGAGACACATTGCATTCTATAGTAACATTGAATCTGAAGTAGACATGTAATAGCTATGGTCATCTAGATCTGGTGAAGGTTTATTTTTCGGAAGCCTAGATTAAACTTAGGAGGAGAAGTAATTTTAAAACTTAATTATTATATTAATTTCTCAGGGCTCATGATAAACTTGTAATTTAGAATGTAACTGACCACTTATAGCCAAGGTGTTGGTTTTATGGGAAGTGAAAGAGACATGCATGAGAAAAACTTGGACATGTATTAATACTCTATTATCCCTTTTTTTAAAATTGTGTAAAATATAATCTAAAATGTACTATTTTAACCATTTTTAAGTTTGCAGTTCAGTGGCATTGACTATACTAATCTTGTTGTGTAACCATTACCACCATCCATTTTCAGAACCTTTTCATCTTCCCCAACTGAAACTCTTTTACTCAGTAAACACTAAATTGTTTTCCCCTAACTCCTAGCTCTTGGCAACCACTTCACTACTCTAGGTACCTCCTCTGAGTGGAGTCGTGCAATATTTGTCCTTTGGTGACTGGCGTAATTCACTTAGCATAATGTTCTCAAAGTTTTCTCATGCTGCAGCATATGTCAGAATTTTATTATTATTATCATTACTATTTTTGGTACTAGGGATTGAACCTGGGGGCACTTTACCTCTGAGATACATTCCCAGTCCTTTTTATTTTTTATTTTGAGACAGGATCTCACTAGGTTGTTTAGGGCCTCGCTAAGTTGCTGAGGAAGTTCTTGAACTTGTGATTTTCCTGCCTCAGCTTCCTGAGTCCCTGGGATTATAGGTGTTACACCATGAGGCTGGGCTAGAATTTTATTTTATTTTTTTTAAGGCTGACTAATATTTTAGTATATGTATATATCCCCTATTTGTTTACCATTTCTTCATTGGTGGACATTTAGGTTGGTTTCACCTTTTTGGCTGTTATGAATAATGCTACTGTGAACATGGGTGTRGAAATATCTGTTCCATGGGCTGGGGATGTGGCTCAAGCGGTAGCACGCTCGCCTGGCATGCGTGCGGCCCGGGTTCGATCCTCAGCACCACATACCAACAAAGATGTTGTGTCCGCCGAGAACTAAAAAATAAATATTAAAAATTCTCTCTCCTTTCTCTCTTGCTCTCTCCCCTCTCTCACTCTCTCTTTAAAAAAAAAAAAAAAAAAAGAAATATCTGTCCCAAAGTTCCTGCTTTTATTTGTTTTGGGAACATACTTAGAAATAGAACTGCTGGATCATGTTTAATTTTTTGAGGAATTGCCATGCGGTTTTCCAGAACAGCTGCACCATTTTTCATTCTCATCAGCAATGCACAAGGGTTTTAATTTCTCCACATCCTCTCACTAACACTTGTTATTTTCTGTTTTTTATTTTTTCCTAAAAATGGGATGCAAAGTGGCATTTCATTGTGCTTTTGATTTGTGTTTACCTAATGATTAATAATATTGAACATATTTTTTCACATGCTTATTGTCTGTATATGTATCTTTTTCTCAGTTTTAAAAGCAAAGTCTGGTAGTATTAAAAGTTTTCTGAGAACTCTTCTTTCCAAGAATAATATTTTTTGTGAATTTATATATTTTGCCAGCATTGGAGAATTAGAAAACAACAGGACTAGACACCCACAAACATAGTTCTAGACTGATTAAAAATGATTATTGTGTAGAAAGTATGTTCTGGGTAAATATTCTGGAAAATATTCCACAAATTAGATTTCCATATCCATCTATAAAATAGTAAAGAAGTACAATTAGGTATAGACTTTGAAAATTTTTATTTGCTCTTAATTTTTATAGTGTATGTAGAAGTTGTTAAATGACCTTTGTTTTCCTTATAGTGGATTCACTTATTTGTGTTTTGTGTTTTTTTTGGAATTAATTTTATATAGTATAGAAAGTTTGTTTTCCAAGATTTATTTTTTTTGGCAATATCTTAGCAAAGACCAGAATAAATTGCATATGCATGCTAAGCAATAGATAATTGATTTCTTTTTCTGTAATATTTCTTCCATTAAATTAGAAGGTTTGAGTTAACTTTATTTGGGGTACAATAAAATTGCAATTGTATTTTATGAATTGCTTTAAAGAATAAAGTAAAGGACACATGTCAAGCTCTTTAATTTCAGGAGTGTTTGAATATAAAAATTGTATAGCATAATAATTGTCTTTAATATGTAATTTTTGAAATTCAGAAATATTAAATATTAATTAATAATCACTTGGTTTGTCTGTATTATTGTTTGTATATTTATTATATGCATCACATTGTTTGACTGACAGACTTATAATACAACATTAATTCTTAGTATCTTAAGTATGTTTCCTGGCAGTACTGTAACATAAAGTGAAGGAAAAGTTTTCTATTTTGCCCTTTTCTAATAGGAGGGGTTTTGAGTTTTGCATTATTGTTATTTTCTGTAGACAGTAGCAGCAGCATGTAGTTCTGTGTAAATATGTAGGGAATGACTTGGCTCAGCTATGTGTAATGAAATTACATGGTGAACTTTGCAAATATAGACATTTGAGTTTTTCCATTTTGATTTAATTCTGACTGTGTTTTTAGAGAGTCCTAACATTTTTGAATCTGAAGGATTCTTACCCATATTTCCTGATAAGGAAAACCCAGCAGAGGTTTAAACCTTAGGTTTTGGATAAGAAAGACTTGGATACTTTTCTTTATATCTACACAGCAGGACATGAAGCAGTCTTTGATAGTTATCTAGGTAAGTCTACAGAATAATGACAATCAAACTTAACACTTAGGCAGACACTCTCTCTCCCTCTCTCTCTCTCTCACACACACACACACACACACACACACACACACAAACACACACACACACATACTCTTAATGAGTAATAATAGTAGTACTTGGTTAGGGGATGTATGTTTTCCTTCTCATCACATTCTCCCTCCTTTCTTTGATTTGAAATGGTTCTGTAAGTTTATATTTGAGCAGAATATTTTGAAAACACTACTTCCTTCAAGATGAAATTATAGTGGTGTCATTATTTCTAGCCTCACCATTTTGTTTCTGAGACATTTTGTAGGTAGTTTGGACATTTGGTGTTAAATGTTGCAACATCTTTGATGACTCGAGGCTCCCCATTCAGCAGAGGGTACTTTTGCCCCTGGGTAGTGATACTCTTCTAATGAAAATACTTTTTTTTCCCCCCTTTTTCTTCTTGCTGGGGAGAAAACCCAGGGCTTAGCATATGCTAAGCAAGCACTCTACCACTGAGCTACCCCAGCCCCAAAACCACTAAGAAAAATATTTAGGCTTAAGATTCAGCTTATATTCTTACTTTTGAGGGGGATAGTTTATAAGAATTACAATTTAAAGGTGGTTTTTATGCTTTCCTAATGATTGAAGTCTTGTCTTTTTCATCTGCTTTGTGTAGTGTAAAACAGGAATGTGCAGTATAATTCTATATTTTTGTAAAGTGCTAATGTACTAAGGTGCATTTATAATAACAGTCTCTTAAAGTGTTTTAGTGTTTACCATCTTTATGCTTTGTGATGTGTCGTGGTGCAGGCGAAATTTCATGGGCTTTGTTGGCCTGAAAGAGTCTTAGCTCACCCACAGCTGTGTTTGTCTTGGGCAAGTGAATTAACTCCTGAAAGTCGTGGTTGTCTATAAAGTGAAGAGGTTGATAAAAATCAATAGATGTGGCAGTGCCGCATTCAATAGCTACTAGCTGTTGTTGTTTTATCTGGGAGTTTGGAGTTAGAATATGAATAATACAGAGTTAT